GAGGATAGGATATGCAACTACTTCATCTGGTACTCACTCAAAGAAACATTGATCTATTCCAAGGCTGAAGGAAAAATCAGTTGTATTGGATTCAAGGAAATAGGAATAACATTAGCAGTTCATAAATACAGGTGACTTTTTTTTTTTTTAAATCATGTGAGGTAAGGTCTATTTAAATGACACTGTATATCTAAGCACATCGGACATCTGAGCCACCACTTAGTCATTTCAAGGATTGATCCTTGCACCACACACCCTATTGACCTATATACCACATCTATAGCTACCTTGTCATTGTTTTATGCATGTTTAAATTGGTTCTACAAAGATCCTCTAAAAAATAATAATAATAATAATACAATCTATTAGCCATTATAAAAGAACAGTCAAATCATCAAGCTAATATTCCCATGATTCACTGAGATTCACATTTATCATTCACCCCAAAATCTCCAGGTCTCCCTTGGAAAAGTATATCATTAGCAAACTGCAAAAGTGCTTCAACAGACAACACAGTTAAACCATCTTCGTTTGACACACATAATATCCTACTTTGCTTAATAACATATTTTAAAGAAGTCCTTTAGAACTTCATTTCTGAAATCAGAAAAGGCTAGGGAGAAAAACCATATACATATGCATTAAAAAAAAGTATAGCCAATAGTCTATTTCTAGTAGCAAGCTAAAAGTTTAAATAGTGACTTCTGTAGAAAATAAAAAAGATAAATGAGGCTTTTATAAAAAAGTTTTAATGCCAACTAGGATATATTTTTGATATTTTGCGCAATTATCTAAGGCTTATATTTTAAATTTAAGTTATGAGTTGCTATTTTGATTAATACAAGTTAAATCATTGGTTTTCCTCATTAACATCTGCAGTCTCTATTAAATTTAGAGAGATACTCATTTTAGCTTTAAAAATTACCTGACAATGTAGTATATATTGAATGGTGTGAGAAAAGTTTATGAGAGAGTCATTCACCAGAAATCACACTATGAGAAGGAAATGGTACACCAGAGAGTGGGAAAAAGACGTCTGACATACATAATTAAAAAAAAACAGGGTTTGGGATGTGGCTCAAGCGGTTACGCTCTCGCCTGCCATGCGCAGGGCGCTGGGTTCGATCCTCAGCACCACATAAAAATAAAGATGTTGTGTCCACCGAAAAATGAAAAAAATAAATATTAAAAAATTCTCTCTCTCTCTCTCTCAAAAAAAAATCCAAATCAATAAGAAAAAAACAACCCAATAGAAAATTAGGCAACAAATCTGAACAGGCATTTCATTTCATAAAAGGAGAAATAAATCAATACATGTATAAAATGCGGGAGACACCCTTCATAAAATGACAATGAAATACTACTACATATATACCACATTAGTTCAAACAAAGTGTTGCAAAGACATGGAGCAATGGAAATTCTTACACTGCTAATACTGAAATGAGCACTTTGAAAAATAATCTAGCAATATATACTGAAACCAAACACTGGTACTTATCTTTACATGGATACCAAAAGATATATACAAAATATCACAGCAATATCATTCATAATGGTCAAAGTAAAAACACATTATACAAAATTGTATTATGATATTAGTCAATAATTAAAAAGTGAAAACAATCCAATTGCTTACTAATGGTAAAATGGGTAATTGTGATGTATAACAGAATGACTTAGGATGAAAATGACTTCCTCACCTAACTGGGAAGGAAGGAAGGTCAGAATGTTGAGCTACTGTGCTACTATTAGTGTTTATTTCTAAATGTGGGTGGTAGTTACATGAATATTTGCTTTTTTGCTAACTTATTTGCTATATGTTTTATAGCAATTTTTATATGTAGGATTTATTTTCCAATTTAAAAGGGAAAAGAAAAATAAAGTAGACACCAGTGTCTTCCCCTCACACTTCAAAGGTACGGCCCCAAAACCTACATATTTAACAAGTATCAATGATGATTTTATTCATACAGTAAGTTTGAACACTGGCCTAGATCTATATCCGGTCTTCAGTTATTCAAATGAACTACAGAAGTTCTGATGGCTTTAAATAGGATGCACATGCAGGGTATTTCATCTTTTCGCTTCCTACCCCTTTTGTTACTAAAAAAAGACACAAGTATATATAAAAGCAGTAATGAGAGAGCTAGATTATTGGCAGAAGAGTAAATTCATTAGCCCTGAAGAGTATGCTGGGACAACCAAATAAACAGCTCCCTTCTAATAAGGGCCACTTCATTAAAAAAAAAAAAAATAAAGGAAAAAATTATTTGAGTGTCAATAAGGACCCCTCCCCAAATCCACAGTAAAATGAAACAATCCTTTAAGAATCAGATTGCCACCTGCAAGACTACACACAAAACTGATTGTACAAGTTTGTTCTCTGAATTTCTGAAAGGCAAAGGACTGATTTAGTTTTCAGATTTTATAAAATTTTGCCAGGCATAGTGGCACATGCCAGTAATCCCAGTGACACAAAAGGCTGAGGCAGGAGGATCGCAACTTAGGGCCTCAGCAACTTCTGCGGTACTATTAGTGGCTTTTTTTCCCCTAGATGTGGGTGGTGGTTACATGAATATTTGTTTTTTACTAACTTATTTGCTATATGTTTTATATCAACTTCTGCTGAGGCCCTAAGCAACTTTACAAGACCCTGTCTCAAAAAAAAAGTGGGCTAGGAATATAGCTCAGTTGGTAGCATACACAAGGCCCTGGGTTCAATCCCCAGAACCACAAAAAATAAGTCTTTGAGGATGTGGTTCACATCCTAGGTTAAGCACTCCTAGGTTCAATTCCCAGTACTAACATAAACAAAACAACAACAACAAAAAAAAAAAAAACAGATTTCACAGAATTTAACTGTTCTTTATTTTCAAATTTTAGCCATATTCTGTGAATAAAAGCCCTCATGCACAACCAGGGCTCGACAAATATATATATATGTAAAAGCACTTATGATATAGCTATGTATCTGCAGCTAAACAGCATAGTTGTAACAAGGACATGAATTCTAATTAATAAAGATATACACACACACAAACACACACACACACACACACAAAAACCCAAGACCATGCTGACTAGTACCCTATGCCATAAAAAGTACCTTAAAATGTTGTGTTTATAAACCCACACACAAGGAAGACCAATCTGAAAAATCAAACATTAAATGACAAAGGACATAAAGTCTTCAGTTAAGTATCATGTTAAGGACTATAGTCATTCCTTGACCTTTTCTCTCTTTGCTGTTAATTCTAATTTTAAATTTGCCTATAATCACATCATTTCTTTTTTTTTAATGTCAATTTTTTTTAAGGATTATAAAATACAAACCAGAACAGTATTGCAAGTAAAAGCAGAGCAAATTAGAAACCTAGTGCTAAACTTTTAAGGATATGAAGTCAAATGACGCTGTCATATACATCACATCATATTCTTTAGAGCAGAAAATCTATTGTACAATAATTTAATTCTAATTATTAATTTTTATAATTCAAATGCAAAGATCATAATTTTAGTTTCCCGATTCCAAATATTTAATGCTACAAACAATATTTGAATAAATTCTAGCTCAACTTCAATCAACTTTGAAAAGGATCACTATACCTGTACATAGAGCCTTGCATGCAAGTCATTCTGAATATCCTGTAACTCCCAACAAAAATATCAGCAAAAACATTCACTTTAAATATAATTAAGGATGGTGATGGGCTTTCAAAAACTTCTGAGCAATAATCATTGCTGAGTTCTCCAAAAGAGAGGAACATTATATTCTGCAGTCTACACAGTAAGGAGATGGCAACATGAGGTCACCACTGACAAGGAGGTACCCAGTTGACTGTCCACAAATTTTATCCTAATTAGTTTGCAACTTTTCAGGAGACAGGAAAAATTCTGAAATCTGGCTAGGACTCCTACAAAAATATTTATGCCTGCTTATGTCACTGGGGGCATGCCTTTCATAGGGATTATGGGGACTTGGTCTCTTCCCTCTTTTTTGCTTCCTGACTCATGAGATGAGCAATTTGTTTAGCACGTGCTCCCACCATTATGTGCTACCTTGTCAGAAGGCCAAATCGATGGGGCCAGTCTAGAACCTCCCAAACCATGAACTGAAATAAGTTATTTATCATGAGTTTATCATTATAATGATGAAAAGCTGGTTAATACAAAGCCTAAAATAATACAGACAGAAATCAATATGTTTTCATTAATCACACAATTATCACAAATACAAAATTGCTAAAATAGATGCAAAATATATAATCTAATTTCTGAAAAGCATTAATGGTTAATTTTTCAAGTCTAAAAATTGGATGACTTCAGATAAATCAAGTAAAATGACACTAAAATTATCATTTAAAAAACCGTGGATTCAAAAAATAAACACATAAAACAAAATCATATATCCTTTTAAAACCACAAGTAAAAATCCTTTTCTCCCTCTGCCTACCAATATGAGTCCTCTGTGACAGGAGATAGAGAATACCGGAAGATTTCTCATTACTACAATTGGTCAATAAGTCATATATAACAAATCTTTGAAATATCAAATGCATCATTTATAGGGCAGAAAAGGAGAGAAGCTGTCGATCATGATCTGGTACTTAAAAACAGTGAATTAGTAAAATCCATCAACTGAAATATTTTACAAGCTATCTGATTCAATGAATGAAAGAAAAGCAAAATAATTCTTCCACAATTCACATGCCTATCCAGTCAGCTAACAGCACATTTTCTCAATAATGAGGCAGATCAAGAAAAGTTGAGAGCTCCGCAGTAATGGTGGCTGAGGATGAGTGCTGATGGGGCTGGGTTCTGGTTCTAGCTTTAGCTTTGCCACTGACTCGGGGTCTAGGTCTGGGTCTGGGTCTAGCAGCCCGAAACCTGGACACCCTGCTTCAACCCTCCAGGCATGGACAGCCTGCATACAGGCAGCTGATTTGGAGAGCTTTAACACCCGGAGCTAGTTATCTTGCCTGGGGTCTAGTCTTTAAAGCCACCTCCTCCTCCCAGGGATCCCGCCCCACTGGCCAGGCCTCCTCCATACAGTTGAAACAGGTTGACAACCATTAACATGGGTTGCAACTACAGGTGGCACTGGAAGCAGACTGGTTCCCGGACATGCCCGGTGGAAGGAGGGGCCCTAGTCGGCGCAGCTAAACCGTTCAGCTTTACCTTCTTTACAGACTTTGGTTGGTGGGGGCTGTGGCAATGGAACAGATTTGAGAAACAGGAATAGTAGCACCATTGGCCTTCCAGTTCCACCTATCACAGCCTTAATCACCCCAGGTCCTGTGCATCATTGCCAAATTCCTGGCTTGCTTGTGGATGGGAGCCTGCTTTTTGAATTTCTTTTCTTCATCTACCTTTTGGTTGCTCTGTTCATTCAGTACATCAACATCTATAAAACCGTGTGGTGGTATCCTTACAATCATCCTGCCTTTTGTACTTCACTGAATTTTCATCTCATTATCACCTGGCAGCGTTCATCATGGTGATGCTTGCAAGGAGGCTTGTATGGGCCCTCATCTCCGAAGCCACGAAGGCGGGTGCAGCATCTATGATTCACTACATGGTTCTGATATTAGTTCACTTGGTGATTCTCACTTTGTGTGGATGGGTACTTTGTTGGACCCTAGTCAATCTCTTTCGAAGCCATTCAGTACTTAATCTCCTCTTCCTTGGCTATCTTGGTGTTTATGTTCCTCTCTGTTGTTTCCACCAAGATAGTAGAGCTCATCTTCTTCTCACAGACTATAACTATGTGGTACAGCATCAGCAGGTAGAGGAAAGCGCCTCAACTCTGCCCCCTATCTCCAGACCTCATTGGAAATGAGGTAGAATGTCTGAAAGCCGATTTCAACCACAGAATCAAAGAAGTTCTCTTCAACTCCCTCTTCAGTGCCTACTATGTTGCATTTCTCCCTCTGTGTTTTGTAAAGAGTACCCAGTACTATGACATGCACTGGTCATGTGAACACCTCATTATGGTGTGGATCAATGCTTTTGTCATGCTTACCACACAGTTGCTGCCATCAAAATACTGTGATTTGCTACATAAATCAGCTTCTCACCTCGGCATATGGCAGAAGCTAGAACATGGGTCCTACAGCAATGCTCCACAGCACATTTGGTCAGAAAATACAATATGGCCTCAAGGGGTGCTGGTGCAGCATAGCAGATGTTTATATAGAGCCATGGGGCCTTACAACGTTGCAGTGCCTTCAGATGTATCCCATGCCCGCTTTTATTTCCTGTTTCATCGTCAATTAAGGCTGTTAAATCTACTAATCCTTATTGAGGGCAGTGTTGTCTTCTACCAGCCCTATTCCTTGCTGCGGTTGGAGAAGTGGAATCACACACTTTCCATTGCTCTCATCCTCTTCTGCAACTACTATGTTTTATTTAAGCTCCTTCAGGACAGAATAGTATTAGGCAGGGCGTACTCCTACCCACTCAGCAGTTATGAACTTAAGGCAAACTAAGCTGTCTCTCAACATCGAGAACTCTGATAAAAATACTTTCACACGTTCTATTTTTTCTAGCGATTTTTATAAATATTTAAGATATTTTATATTTTGTATACTATTAAGTTTTGAAAGTCGGGAAGGGTAAGGGATATTAAATGTATCCATAAACAAGGTGATGTGATCTTTCATGTGTTAGTACATTTGAATAATACACGTGTGAGAGGTATGCCTCTCTAGTAAAAAGATTGATTTGTTTGTAAAAAAAAAAAAAAAGAAAGAAAAAAGAAAAGTTGAACCATCAGGAACAAATGAACTCAGAAGAACAAAGTCCTAGCTTCAACAATCCACAAGAAAATTATCAATTTCTTGTTCTTTCTAATTTCTGGGTTTTAACAAGGCATTAAAAGCACTTTAAATGGACTTTATAATACCAAGAAATTGGGGTTTTTTCTCTCTCTTTGTCTTAGACAATAGGCCCTCACTTTTGTTTAGCTAGCTAATTCCCTTATCAGATTGTAGTATGGCCACAAGCTTGGTATTCTCTCCCTAACATGCATTCTCTTCTTTATAGTATGGATAGGCTGAAAATTTTTCAAATCTCAGTTGTTTCCCTTTAATAATTCCATCTTCATTTCTCTCTTCTCATAACTAAAAAGAGTCAAGAGGAAATATGCAGCTTCTTAAAAATTTGCTTAGATATTCCTCAGCCAAAAATCCAAAATTGTGGCTTTAAAGTCCCATCTTCCACAAAATATCAACATGAACACAATTCAGCCACTTTATATAATCAAAATAGTGATTCAGTATCTGGTGAGGGTCCAATCATGCTGTCCTTTTACTGCACATAGCAGGAGTGCAGGATCTCTTTCAGGACACTTTTATAAGGTCACTGTTCCCATCCGTGAGGGTTACCTCACCCCAAACAAATCTAATCACTTCCCCAAAGCCTCACCTCCTACTAATCCTACTTGACAATGAGGATCTCAACAAAAAAATTTTGAGAAGTCAGGCTGAAGTTGTAGCTCAGTGGTAGAGCACTCGCTTAAGACGAGCAAGGCCATGGGTTCAAACCTCAGCACCACATAAAAATAAACAAGTAAAATAAAAGTATTGTGTCCAACTACAACTAAAAAATAAATATTATAAAAAAGAATTTTGAGAAGTCACCAACATTCAGATCATAATAGCAACAGATTAAATGCAGAACAAATTATGAGAATCCATTAAGCCAGATACTGAAGATTATTAATACACATGTAACAAGTTGGGGGAGGGGTCACAATCACGTCATTAAAAATATTTTACCAGACACAGTGACACATGCCTGTAATCCCGGTAATTCAAGAGGCTGAGACAGGAGGATTGCCAAATTTGAAGCCAGCCTCAGCAACTAAGCAAGGTCCCATCTCAAAACAAAAAGGGTGCCAGGTGTGGTGATGTATACCTAATCTCAGCAACTTGGGAGGCTGAGGCACCAGGATTCAAAATTCAAGACCAACCTCAGCAACTTAGTGAGATTCTGTCTCAGAATAAAAAAAGGGCTAGGGATGGGACTCCGTGTTAGCATCCCTGGGTCTAATCCTCAATACCCAAACTAAAAATAAACAAATAAGGCCTGGGGCTGCAGTTCAGTGGCAAAGCACTTGCCAAGCATGTGTGAGGCACTGAGTTCGATCCTCAGCATCACAAAAATATAAACAAATAAAATAAAGGTATTCTGTCCATACACAACTACAAAAAATAATAATAAAATAAACAAAATAAAGGCATTCTGTCTATCTACAACTACAAATATATATATATTTGTAGTTGTAGATAGATAAATAAATATATATATTTGTAGTTGTAGATATATAAAATAAATAAAATAGAAAAAAGGGCTGGGGAGTTAGCTCAGTGGTAAATCACTCCTGGGTTCAATCACTGGTACCAAAAAAAATTTTTTTTAATTTAAATTGTGTTTAATTCTAATTAATTTAAGTACATACATTTGTTATTAGTTTAAGTACATACCTTATTGGAGAACATAGCTCTAACTTAACCAAATTTAAAACACTCATTTAAATCTACTGTTGTCATTTCCTCAAGAAAGTACTGGTAGCCTGGCTAGGTATTCAAGGCCAGCCTCCACAACTTAGGAAAAACCTGTCTCAAAAAATAAAAAGGCAGAGCACACCTGGGTTCAATCTCCAGCACGATGGTTGGTGCAGGGGTAGAACATATGTATTTGTATTTGTCTGAATATGTATTGCTAAGGGCAATTTAAATTGGATCAAGTCTTTCTGAAGTGGTTTGGAAATACCAAAACCCATAAAGGTACACTCCTTGAGGCCAAAGAATCCACTCAAACAATTTAAAACGAGAAAAGGGCCAACGAACAAAGGTTTATTTTGTAGCAGTACAATATTGACAAGCTAGCTAACTCAAAATGTCAAAAAAATAAAAAGACCATTAAGTTAATATATACACATATACTGAATAACTACCTCAATATATAATTATAATATAAGAGGGGCCAGGTTGTAGCTCAGTAAAAGAGCACTCGCCTAGCACATGGGAGGCACTGGGTACAATCCTCAACAACACATAATTAATTAATTAAAGGTATTATGTTAAAATTAATAATAATAATAATAATAATAAAAGAGACCATCCTAATCAAATTTCCAGTCACTTTTGTTAGCAGACTGGTTCTTCTAGCCGATTTCATTTTCCAAATTCTTACTAACAGCGTTTTTTTGTTTATTTGTTTTACAGTACTGAGGACTGACCTCAGAGCCTCAAGCATGCTAGACAAGGACTCCACCACTGAGCTACATTCCCAGCCCTTTATTTTATTTTAAGATAGGATCCCTCTAATATGCCCAGGCTAGCCTTAAACTTGCAATTCTCCTGTCTTGTCCTCCTAAGTAGCTGCGATTACAGGCATGAGCCACTGTGCTTGGCATTACCAGTTATTTTTAAATGACATTTTTTTTCCAGACTCAAAATTATCATTTCCTCTGCTTTTTAACCAGCATTGAATCAAAATAAACATAAAAAAAAATCTAACAGACTAAAGAGATAGATTTGCCCTTTAAATTAAAAGGGATCAGTAAACCATGGAGCCATATAGAAAACTAGCAGAGAATTTAGCAAATCCAAAACTATGTTTCAGAAGTTCTTAAATTTTCTGAAGTTTCCGAAACAGTGCACAAAATGGTCCTGGATATCTGATGGGATGGTGCCTACCCCATTTTCCAAACTTATTCAGCCTGTCATGTAAATACTTTCATTTTATCATGAAAAGGATTAGAAAGCTCTATTTTAATAAAATCAGACTTCAACCTAGTTGGAGCCTACAAGCTGGAAATACAAGTAAATTCAATTACTATATGCTTCTCTAGCAATTCTACCTATAGAATTATCAAAATATCACCAAGCTAATATAAAATTATAATTTTATATATTTAAACAAGGTAATATAAAAAACATTTTATGAAAAAAATGTAAGACTGATTATTTAATTCTTACTTTGCCAGGGATTGAACACAGGGCCTCAAACATGTTAGGCAAATGCTCTACCACTGAGCTACACCCTCGGCCAAAGAGGTTTGATTTTTGAAGGAAGGTATAACTTTAATAACTGAAAACTCCTTAGTAAGGGTGCTGCCTTAAATTTTCTTCTTCTTGTTTCTCATTCAAAAATGTCAATCTTTTACATGTAGATATAATTTGTATATCATGTTGGAGTCTACGTGTAGAAAGAAATGCTCAAAAGGTAAAGTCCAATCAATTGAAATATTTACCTTGTTGATGCTGTAACATTACTTGATTCCAGGATGTTTTCAGTTATTCTTAATTGTACCACCTCTGGCACGTCATTTGATTTTTCTGTACCCTCTTCTGGAAGTTCTTCTATATGTTCCAGCTTTTCATCTTCCTCTTCTTCCTCAGAAAGTTCATTAACCTATATGAATAAAAATAAACTCATATGACATATCTGAGACATAACACTTCAAGAAAATTATAAACACAAACTTTTAAAATTTCTTCATTTCTTAAAACCAATCTCTCTTATGGAGTGACCACCAACTTTTTTATATAAAAAAATTGTAGGTATGTGAATGCATGACCAATGTGATTCTGCAACCTGAATACTCAGAAAAATGAGATATTGTATTCCATGTGATTCAAATGTATGATATGTCAAGGTCATTGTACTCTCATATATATAACTAATAAAAAAAAATTGTAGGAACAAGGTGCAATCCTAGCTACTCAGAAAGCTGAGGCAGGGGGACCCCAGTTCCATGCCAGCCTGGACAATGTTTCTAGACCCTGTCTCAAAATAAAGGCTGGCAGTGGTAGGGAGAGGTACAGTGACTCAAGGAAGAGTGCCTGCCTAGCATGCAAGAGGCCCAAGGTTCGATCCCACAAAACAAATAAAATTATAAACCAGAAAAATATAATATTTTGAAGCAGAAAGTAATAACTGAATAACTACATCACTAGAAACATAAATCAGACTGCAAACTAATTAAAATCCTGCACATTGTAGTTAACATTAAGAAAGCTTCATTTTCTAACTGGTTTTGTAAATATAATAGTTACAAAAAGAGGGCTGGGTTGTGGCTCAGTGGCAGAGCGCTTGCCTAGCACATGTGAGGCACTAGGTTTGATTCTCAGCACCACATAGAGATAAATAAACAAAATAAAGATTAATGACAGGGGGCTGGGGATGTGGCTCAAGCGGTAGCGCGCTCTTCTGGAATGCGTGCGGCCCAGGTTCAATCCTCAGCACCACATACCAACAAAAATGTTGTGTCCGCCGAGAACTAAAAAAATAAATATTAAAAAAAAAAAATTCTCTCTCTCCTCTCTCACTCTCTCTTTAAAAAAAAAAAAAGATTAATGACAACTAAAAATATTTTTTTAAAAAATTAGTTACAAAAGACTTCTATTTTATCAGGTTTCCAGGTATAATAAATCATTTTGATACACAGTAAATGTGAAAATAGAAAGGCACAAAAATTTTGCATTAAGGTATAAGCTAT